TTTTTTTTTTTTTTTTTTTTGTACCAGGGCTTGAACTCGGGTCCTTGCACTTCAAAGCAGGCAGCAGAACCACTGAGCTAAAGCTGCGGCCCCATATTTCTTTTTTAAATGAGTACAAAAAGAAAAAACAAAAGCAACTTCATTCTCTAAATAAAAAAAAACTATGGATTTTCTTCCTTGCTCTTCAAATCTAACTTTTCTGATCTTGATGTCCTCTCCTGTAAAATTAGTAACTGTACATGAAGGAGTCTGACCACAGCCATCCTAGACTGACCAGAGAACACTAAGCCTGTTCCCACCCTTAGACTTTTACACCCACTAAAGATGTATAATCACGGGTTAATGAGGCCCAGTTATCATGGTGACACCCCCATAACTCCCACCATTCTTCAGCACTGCTCTTAACAGGCAGCCACCACTCCCTTGTATGTTCTCAAGCCTTTTCCCTGGCAGGGAGCCACAACTCCTTTCCACTGAACCTTTCCCTTTCAAGTTCCATTTTGATCTTTTCCTTTCACAGACCCCTTTTATGCTCATGATCGTATAAAAAACCTTGTAGCCTGTACAAGTTACTGGTCAGGCCTAAGTGCCAGGGCTGTCCCTCTCAGGTTTGTTCTGAAATACACCTGTGCAGTTGAGATCGTACCTTTATTTTTTCTTCCTTTTTTCCCAACAATACGGATTGAGACAGTATTCGAGAAGTTATAATTGTTTAATAATTTACGGGCCGGGGATTTAGCTCAGTGGTTCCGCCGCCTGCCTCGCAAGCACAAGGACCCGAGTTCGATCCCAGGTACAAAAAAATTTAAAAACTAATAGTAATTTGCAATCCAAAAGTTGGGAATCCTCAATATTCACTTATTCAATCACATTGTGTGTAGCAGGGAACAGGATGCAACAGGTGTGACACTAAACCAGAGACCGTATCTTGAATTCACCTGTCCAATTCTTGCTCGCCCTCCATACATCTTTTCGGTTCCAGGTGGTGACCTATCCAGTTGGAATCAGGCATTCATAGTTAACATTCCAGCTGCACCACTTCCAACTGTGTGGTCTTAGATGTTTTCCTGTGTTTTTGAACTTCGTTTCCCCATCAGGGATCTGAAAAGCCTCTCTTGAAGAGCTAGTGTGGAAAAACTAGAAAGTAATGCTACGTCCCTTGCTTTGTTCAATAAGGAATCGCAGCTCCAGAATTTCAGCACCTTTGGCACCCCAGAGGCCGCACCTGGGGCCTTCAGAAGTTGAACTAGGCTCCTCTGTCGCTATGGCAACCGAAGACGCTTTGCGTTGCCAGGCAGCTTGATCAGAGCAGAGAAGGCCTGCCTGCTTCTTGAAGCCAAGACACCGCGCCATGTGGCAGCAGGAAGCGCTGGTGGTGGCCGCGGCTGCGGAGCCCGAGTTTTCGGCAGCCCACAGGGCTGGGGGGCAGAGCGCGCGGGGAGCCGGCCGGCGCCCCTCAGGAACCCCGCAGACCGTGTGAGTTCCGCTCTTGGCAAGGAGGGAGGTGGGTTGTGGAGAACCACTGGAAGAGAAGCTAGAGGACGCTGGAATGAAACTGGCTGAAGCCGCCTTGGTTTGGGCGGGGTGAAGGAAGGCGCTGCTTTGGCAGAGAGAGGCAAGTGAGGGCAGCGTGGAGGAAAGCTCCTGCCTAAGCTTTCTTTCACAAAAGGCCTCTGAGCCCAGGATCACCTTCCACTTAATGGGTGGATAGTGACATTAGCCTGAATATTATATAGCTATGTATATATGTGTGTGTGTGTGTGTGTGTGTGTACACATATATATATCCACGTATGACTCACATTTACATGTACATTATATATATCTATGAGTATAAATGCACAGGGAAACAAGCAGATCATTTTGCATATTCCTTCATTTTATAGATCAGAAAATTAAAGTAGAGAACAGAAGAAAGGAAATAATTTGCAACTTCACTCAATTGGAACTGGAGAAATACTTAAAGCACTTCAACTCTCATCTGAGACTCTTAAATTGATAAATTATTACCTGATTCTTTTAGAACCTCACTATTACGGACCACATTTTAACATACTGCCATTTCCTCTTTGCCCTACCAAACATACAACACTATTCAAATAATGACCATATCTGACTGGGTTATAATTTGAATCTTCGCCAGGTTTCTGTGCTCACCCACATTGTTTTGTGAATTTACAGCTATTTCATGGTTTCTTGCAACCAGAGATCTTCAGTGGGTGCTAAGGAATGATGGTGAATGTTATAGGGCCAAAAAGGAATGCGAGAGCTTCCAACTCTCTGGCAGCATCTCCTTGATTGCATCTCTGGGGAGCAGCTGGAGGTTTTCCAGGTTCCCTAGGCCCTTGCCATCCCCAGGAGGGAGTGTTGGGGGCTGAAATCCTCAGTACTTAGGATGTGATGGACCATGTACCTTTGTCTCCTGAGACCTCATCAAAAAGTAGTCACAGATTCAGTGCCTCCCAGAGAAGGGGGCCTCTTCCCTCAGCATCAGCCCCACTGTGACTACCGTACTTCATTCCTTTTGTTACTAACAGCATGCTGAGGCCTTAATGAGAGCAATTAAATTCAGTGTATTTGAGTAATACAGATTCATTATTCCTACTTAAAGTTCTTTCTGATAGTTTTCCCGTTAAATGCTAGTATCTAAAGGTGTTTTAGCCCTGTGTCTCTAGGAGTGAAGGGTAGACTTGATCATTCAGTCACCAAGTCAACATATATTGAGTCTAAACTACATGCCAAGCTGGGCAAATTGTAGGGGAAGAAGTGATGAGTTTGTGCAGGTGCCCAAACTCACCAGCTTATAAAGTTGGGGTAATATATTTTGTCCCAGAGAAGGGAAAGCTGACTAATAGAGGTCTTTTCCCATGTAGATATCCCTGAACTATATAAAGGCTATTTGAACACTAAATTTATTATAACCAGGGCTACCTTTAGCATCTTTTGTAGTGCTCTCACCATTCTGGCTGATGTCTTCCTACACTGCCCAGTAATTAAATTCCTGAACCTAGTATTCTAGGTCTGATCTGATTATGTAGTGTGGTGGAACTATAATGCTCTTGATCAGAACGCTATAGTTCTATTAAATAGATCCAAAATAACATCTTGCTGTTTTTAGCAGACATTATAGTAACATAATAGACAAATACAATCTATGATACTCCTTAGTTTGTCTTCTTCCTTTCTGCAGTGCTGGTCTCCTGAATAGATTTGATTCAGGCCTTTTCAATTCTGTTCTTATGTATTTGATTGGTCCTAAATACAAGTCATAATATCTGTCTCTACCAATACCATTCTATAGATATTTGCACTTCCAGGTATAGAAGTAGCACTTGAGGCCTAATTTTGCAACTTAACCATTCACCTATGTTTATGCTACTCTCATGACTGGCAAGTTTGCCGGTAGTTCCTTTATCCAAATCAGCAAATTACATGGTGATTTCAACAGGACCAAGTAGTCTTTAGAAGCCCTCAATCTGTTATACAGCATCTTTGTCATGGGCATTCTGACATCTACAGATCTACCTTATCAAATGCCTTGATGAAATGCAAATGCATTGTGGGTGCCTCCAAATTATTTTTCCATTGAGTTTATTGGTACTTTTTTGTTTGTTTGTTTTTTGAGACAGGGTCTCACTGTGTAGTTGAGACTGACCTGGAACTCACTATGCAGCCCAGGCTGGTCTTGAACTCACAGTGATCCTCCTGCCTCAGCCTCCCGAGTGCTGGTATTACAGACATGTGCCACCACGCCTGGCATTATTGGTACTTTTTAGGTATAGAGTACAGTTACATTTATCATGGGGATCTTGTACCTTTATATGACAGATCTTCATTCCCATTTTTCCCCACTCCCGTGCTCTCCCTTCACCCACTCCCCCTTCCCTATTTACAAAGACTTTGCTTCCATTTTTTCCTTTTCTCATATTTTTTCTTTTCCCTTATTTCCTTTCCCCCACCCTTCCCATTTCCCCTACACCTTTAGTCCTTTTCTTCCTATTTTACATTGTCAGTTATACAATTTGGATCTTATTTACACTTTTAGTTTTTCACACCAGAAAAACTTTTTGGTATTTACACATGTGTCTTATTTATTTCGCTTAAGAGTGTGGCCTCAATATGTATCCATTTTCCTACGAATCACTCTAGTTTCTCACTCTTTATGGCTAAGCAGTACTCCATTTTATAGAAAATCTTTATCCAGCCTCCAACTGATGGGCAATTGGGCTGTTTCCAAGTTTTAGCTATTACAAACTGGGCCACTATAAACATAGGTACGCATATGTCACTGCGGTATGATTCTTTTAATTCTTTTGGAAAGATACCCAGCAGAGGGATGGCTGGGTCAAATGGAACCTCTAGTCCCAGCTCTTTGAGGTATCTCCATATTGATTTCCATAGTGGTTGCACCAGTCTGCACTCCCACCAACAATGGAGATGTAAACTTTGAGTAGGCATTATGTGGGCCAAAAAAAAAAAAAAAATCAGGAGAAAGTTCAGTCAGAGAAGATGTCATGTGCAAAGGTGGGAATAGACAGAAGGGCCGCATGGCTGGAGCACAGAAAGCAACAGTGAGAGGCTGGCAGTGAGAGCTGACAGGCAGGGCCATGGAGCACAGAGACCTTTTGTTTCCCTAGAGCTCTGTGCTCTGGGGTGAGCAGAAGAAATGTAAAACTGTAATTTAAAAAAAAAAGAAACGAAAAGTAAAAAGAAAAGAAATGTAGCCAAGGTATTTAGAACAAATAATTTAGTCCTTGGGTGTAGTAGTAATGAGGGCCAAATTTAGAGGCCAGGAGGAAGTTGGAAATGTCCATAAGTGATTCACAACTGTAATTCAGATTTGATCTTTAAAATAGTGATTAAAAAATGCTGAAGTCATTCTATATTCTGTGCCTGAATTGGAAGCTCCCTGCTCACATTTTTCTTGTCCATTGTTTTGTCCTCAAGTCTAAGCCAGTTGCCTGGCAGAGTAGAGCTTTAATAAGAATATATTTTCTTGAAGCTCATGAGAAAATTCCACATATTTGTTCATAATATATAAATTAAGTCCCTGAAACTTAGCCTACAAGTTCAGGAATTACGTGAAAGTATGAACTCCCCAGAGAACCAGAAATTCCAATGGAAGAGATCTTTCCAAGATAGCATCTGCAGGGCAAATTGTCTTGATACGTGTATAGAATGATGTGTATTTTTTAAAAGTTATTCATTCATGGACTGGGAATTTAGCTCAGTGGTGCCACTGCCAACCTCACAAGCACAAGGTTCTGAGTTCAATCCCTGGTACCAAAAAAAAAAAAAAAAAAAAAAAAAAATTATTCATGTAGGTATAAGGGCTAGAAAGTTGAGCAGGATTTATGATAAGTGACCAATTTTTTTAATACTTTACAGGGAAGAAATTTTTATACTGTGAGCCACATAAAAGAATTAAGGAAGTTTTGGAAGAAGAACTTTATATCAAGAGAGATGAATGCCACATTAAAAATGCACCTTCAGGTAATCTCAGTGACAAATAAAGTATATTTGTGAAATGAATACAGAATTACCTATTTGATAGCAGCATATTTCATCTATTACATTTATTCCATTTATTACAAAATTATACCTATAAAAAGAAAACATGGGTTAATGCGTTCTCGGGAAATTCTTGAAGTTCTCTAATTATTTTGCCTATGTCCAAAACCAAACTTTTATATTTAGAAAAAAATGAGCTAAATATCAGTTTGTAGTTTGCTGCCCCATTTTTTTGTGGTGTTATTTTCATTTAATGACAAGTAAAAAACTTTTTCATATGCTTGTAAAACAGTGACATCTTCAGCTTATCAATCTAGGCATGGCTAATAACAGTGTTTCCTAATTTTGATTGTATCAGAATTACCCAGGATCTTATTAAAAGCAGGCTGCTGGCCCCATTCCTAGGGCATCTGGTTCAGTAAGTTTGGGGTAGGGCCCAAGAATTTATATTTCTACCAAGTAAAGTTTGATGCCACTGGTTCACTTGCCTAACTATTGACCCAGAAGAATTAAGTTATTTAAACAGGTCAAATCATCCAAAGATTTTAGTCTCACAAACGCAGAATATGTGAGTATTATGAGTTACATGATCTGGGCATTGACAGCTCTCACTAGGGGTTCATGTGAAACAGGTATATTCTGGGAGCCCCAGAACCTCCCAAAAATGTACTTTTGAAATTGCTAGTACCCCTCATTTTCATGCTTCTCAGTGGTTACAGAGTACATATTTCATGTTCTTCAATTATCAGGTTTTTATTGAAATGTTCTTGCCAGTGATCACTCACAGAAATGAAAGAATTTAAATTAGGACGCCTATGCTCAGAGAACTTCATATTCTCTGAGGAGGATTGTTCTGGGCAGGAGGGTCTCAGATTACCTCAGGATTCTAGGAGCAAATGCTGCAGGCCCAGAGGTATATTATTTCAGAGTCAAGATGAACAGGCCCACTTTACGTTTCTAAACTAGCTATAGAAACAGCTATATCACCTTCTTTTATAAGACGAGAGACCATCGACATGACTACATTTGCTCAATGTCTCACAGAAATATTAAAGTCTACTTTGAACTCCATAAATGGAAGCAAAATGAACTACATTTTGGCTGTGAAACCCAGCCTATATGTACTATTTCCTTGGTGGTTAAAATTTTTTTTGTAAGTTTATACTATTATAGTTTGGATTTAACTTTGTTGTTTTCAAAGACTACATACAGAACTATAAACTAGTTGTACATAGCATCATTCTTACTGGATACATTTGGTTGTGAGACAGTTTAAGTGACTAGGAAGTAAAAACTGATTTTCTAGGAAAGCTTTTAAAATATCATTTACACAAAATAGAGACTGTATTGCATTTTTATGCCATCCACCAGAGGTCAACATAAATATATGGGGAGAGGAGAACAGTGAGTAAAATGAGCTCTTAAAGGAAAAATGAGAAAAAATTCCCAAAAAAAGATGAGAACCAGGATAATTTCATATCATGCCATCTGAGGAAGGAACAAAGTTTGAGGAAAGTGCTTTCAACCATGTTAAATGTTGCAGATCTCAAGCTAGTAAAGGACAGAACAAAATCCACTGGTCTTAGCCATAGTGGGTCATTAGACACCAAAATGAATAGAAAGTCAGTGGGATTTGAGGTCAGATCAGAGTTTGGAATCTGGTTCTGCCACTTACTTAAAAAGCATAACCTTGGAAAAATTTAAAAGCCTCCTCCCAAATCTCAAGTTACTCATTCTAAAATGGGAGCCATAATACCTATGTCATATATCTTTCACAAAGTTTTGTGGTAAGCAAAATAAAGTTGCTATCCTCGGGTTGCTTTCTTTCGAGTAGGAGAGTCAATAAGGGAGTGTACAAATAGATGTGTCACTTCAGGTAATTGTAATTTAAAAAAGCAGATAAAAGGAAGTAGTAGAAAGGGTTAGAGTGACTTAAAGGAGAAGTGTTTCTATGTGAACCTGGTGGAGTGCAAAAGCCTGTATGAGATGGAGGTGTGTGAACTGAAACCTGAATGAAGGAGAAAGACACTCAGAGGTCTGAGTGAAACAAGACGGTCCTGAGGTGGCCATAGACTTGGCATGTTTCAGAGTATCAAGGAAGCCTGTGTAACTAAACCAGACTGGAAAAGTATAGAAGATCAGAGAAGTGACCAGGTGATATGAAAATAAAATTTAGTCTAAGAATTAATTATAAGAAGCCACTGGAGAAACTTGAATATGGATGCTAGGTGTAGCTATTTACTTTGTAAACGGTGTCTCTGGTTTCTGTGTAGAGAACAGACAAAGGGGACCATAGTAGAAGCTATCGCAGGAACTGTTGCTGGGCCTGTGAGAGACGGTGGGAGCTTGGGTCCTGACACAGCTGTGAGACTTAGGCAATATTTCATATTTAGGTTCAGCAGGATTAGCCAGTGGACTCATGGAGTGTGAGGATTTGACTTAACCAACTGAGTGAGAGGGAGTTGCTGTTTCTTGATATGAAGAAGATATGTTATAAGCAGGTTTTCTAAAGTCTAGGGTACAGAAATAGAGCTTGGCTCTGGACATGTTAAATTTGAAAGGCCTATCACACATATAAATGTAAAGTCAAGTAGGATTTTTGGATTTTAGGCGGAAGGGTAGAAACTAGAAATATACATTTTTGGAATCATAAAGGACCCAGATTCTCCAATGTGTGTGTGTGTGTGTGTGTGTGTGTGTGTGTGTGTGTGTGTGTGCTGGGGATTAAGCTCTGGACCTTGCACTTGTGAGGCAGGCACCAGAACCACTGAGCTAAATCCCCATCCCAGGTAATCCCTGGCCCCCAGGTTCTCTAAATTTTGAAGGCCAGAAAGAGTTAACAAACAGGATGGGATGAATTGGTCAAAGAGGTAGGAGCAAAACCAGGCAAATGGAGTGTGGTGACCTAGAGACCAAGTCAAGAAAGTGTTTTCAGAAAAAGTAAAGAGTTGTGTCAGATGCTACAAAGATGTGAGTATAATGGGTGGGCTACTGGCTTTGACATTCAAGAGGAAAATAATTTGCAATCTGGAAGAGCAGTTTCATGGAACTCAGGAGAACAAAAGCCTGATTGAGAAACACTCCATAAAGAGGGAAAGATAACAGATCAAGTATATTTACTCTTACATCTACAGATAGCTGCTACAGGAGCCATGCAAGTCCCTAAAAGCTTTGTATGGAATTTTGAGTGTGTGTTACAAAATGTGTCTTCCAAGAAGAGGAGCCATACTGTCGTCAGATCTTTAAAGGCGGAGTGTGTCACTGCAGAGCTTGATTGAGAAGGTCCATAGGCTGGCTCAGGGCCAGCAATACTGAGAGTCAGCTGAAAGAGTGTGACACCTTCTCTGGCTGATGGTCTGTGTTCTGGCTATGAGTATGAGGCTTCCAGCCTACAAATGTGTTGGCTCAGTGGGATGCAATAAATGCTGGCATGAGAGGTAATAATGAGGGTGATAATACACTAATAGCTGTCATTTACAGAAATATCTTCTGCACTTGACAGGGTGAGCTTTGTTTATAAATTATCTTCTTAAATTCCTGTAACAGCTGGGCATGTTGGTGAATGCCTGTAATTTCAACACTCAGGAGGCTGAGGCCAGAGAATCACTGCAAATTTGAGCCACGTCTGGTCTATAAAGTGTGTTCAAGGCCAGTCTGGACTACACATGGAGACTATCTCAAAAAACAAAAGAAACAAACAAAAAAACACCCAAGCAAACAAAAATAAATAAAATTCCTGTAACATCCTTGTAGATATATGTTCTTCTTTTTTTTTTTTTTTTT